GAAGAGGAACGACCGAAATAAATTCAGTGAAAACGTCAGAAGTCTTTTAGTAGGAATTTGCAGAGCTTGAGAAAACGGCTTTTCACGTAAAACCGGAAAAGTTCTCATTCACAACGAAATATGACAATCTAAACGTAACTAAAAATTCAAAATTCAACAAAGCTGGAACCACCCCACAAAACTAAGAAATTGAAATAAACTATGTAAGCAGTTACAAAAATGTGTAGCGAAGATGTTGAGAAGAAATTATAATATAAGAAGGAGACCAGATGACCGCAACGAGTGGTAAAAAATGATCAAAATAATCGCCTATGGTCATTTGAGAATTTGAAGATGGGAAATTAGCAAAAAAAGAAAGAAGTAAAAAAGGAGAAAGGAACAGCAGATTCCCGAGTCAATACAGCATATCCATATTGCTATTTCGAGGCTTTTTGATTTTTTCAATATTTTTCGTTATGATATCATAGAGCGTAGAGAAATGATTTCGCATCTCCAGCACGACCAATCTAAAGCGTAACATATCGAAGTACGACAGAGGTACGCAAGAGCGGAAATATGATGGCTACCTGACGTTTATGAACTGTTTCTCATCCATATCAAGAATAGCTCTTCTGTAGTCGTCCACGTGTGGATATTTCGCAACCTGAACAATATACAAATGATTTGCGAAAGCAATAACAAAAAGTCCTAGAAAAGACTGGATCATTGAATCATAGCTATGAAACCAAGCGTAAACAGTTATAAAATAAATACTAGAACCAAAATGCGAAGAATATAAGGAACTTATCAATACTGCAAACTAATCAAGCTAAATCTCTGTTCACAAATGATAGAAACATCGTTAGATATTAATCGACTTCTGCGAGGCGCACCATTCAAAAGCGTGAACGTGAATGTGTAAATGGAATAATAGAGAGTTTCAATCACAAGGATGCAGGATGTGAGATCGACAAAATACCAAAAAGAAATCAAATTGAAAATTGAAGACAAAACTCACAGCAAAGGTATAATCATTAACAAAAGAAAATCCAAAATAAGATTGAACTTTTTACTTCCCCCACCTTCGTGAGTAATTTAGCTCGACTAGTGAAATATCTGCTCATCTGATCCAGAAACGATGCAGCTTCGCTTTCCACGTTTCGCACCTACATTTGTGCGGTAATATATTCTGCTACAGATAATTTTTCAACAAAAAAAGAGATGAGAACATAATTGACTACCTCTCCAAGAGT